CACAGCCAAGTGTGATTGCAGATGCTCTTGCAGAATCACACCCAATCCTTTTTCCACCATAGTCACTAGTTATTTCCTATGGCTGCAGATGAGAAGGGTTTGCTCCACAGCTCTGAATGAGCACACTGTTCTCAGTGGCACATGCATGGCCCAGTCCCAAGGGGCTTCCCATAGTGAGCAGAATTGGGACCTCTAACATCACCTCCAAAAAGGAAAATAAAAAAGACACTGTACTTTGCCTCAAGGTTTTTTGGACATACAGCATTCCTCTTTTAGATCGTTTTTGTTTAGTTGGATTAAAATAATGAGAAGCAGAACTTCAAGATGAAACCGGCACAACACATTAATACATCTCTTTTTTTAAAAAAGAGGTTTAAAATCTCCTCAAAATCTGCTCAGTGAATTTTGCCATCATTTATACCCCGGACAGCAAGAGAATAACTTTGAGTTCCCCCAGTTAGCAGAGGAGAGGCAAGAAAGGTTTGTGGCCATAATGCGATGGGTGTTCCCAGACCTACCCACCGCTATGACAGTCTGCAAAGAGACGAAAGGGCACGGTCCAGTCAAGAGTTTTCAACTGCAAAGTATCTTAATCGGGCATATCCATACTTGGCTCAAGAGTGATCATGTCATTTTTAAAAGGATACAAAGTAAGAAAATTTAACCCTAGATATAAACATTAGTAAACTAAATTTAAAGGCTTAAATTTCTATCCATTCACTTGAAAGGAACATTGAAAGGGCAAAAATATCCTAATGCTATCATGGCAATATCTTTCCCCGTGTCCTAATGCTGAGATCATCATCTTATTGTTTGTTACACACTTACTCAGCAGAATAATTCCTTTGATATTACCGTATAACCTCAGCACATAATTTTTTTTTGTATTGTTATCGGAATAGAAAATATACATAGTGTATTTTCTGCCCCTTCTTTTCTGTGTTGCTTATAGACCTGGATGTGGCAAACTTCAACACAAGGCAATTGCATGGAAAAAAGCTAAAGCTGTGCTTAGAGTAAGTTTGAAGAAATCTGCTTGTTAGCAGCTATTCCTAAGAGAGGCAGGAAATTTTCCATTTTTAAATCTCCATTCAAATTAAGTCAATGAAGACTGAAGACCACAAAACGGTTACTGTTGCTTTCCAGCACATCAAATTAACAATTTGTGCTGCTACGTGCAACTTTCAGTCAAAGTTTGCCTGATTTATAAGCAAGCAGATGGTTCACACGATTGTCCATAATAAATTACAACAGTTAGAAAGACAGTTACATTTTGAGAGTGACAGTGCAGCTGAGCTACAGATGGGTTTATAGATGACCCTTCCAATTTTTAATAATCTCCATAATTTATGTGCAAGTAAGGAAGTGCAAAGATTCCTAATGCACCTTCTTGACTAAGTACAAATCACTTTTATTTACGCAGGCAATACTTCATGGTCCAGTTAACTTCTTAATTAAAGGCAGCAAGATGCTCATGTTCCATGCAAGTGGCATGGAAAATAATCTTTAGTGTGCAATATGTTCAACTGGGAGTTTAAGATGCTCCCATCAATTCTGGAGAACTGAACGCAGCTATCACATTTCTTTAAAATAAGACTACAAGGGTGCAAACTCTGCTACCACTAGTTAGTATTCATTACTCTCCAGACAATCTTTATGCTCATGCACTAACAAGATTATGTTTAGTTGCAAGCTCTGATGCTTACAAATAGGCTGCTAATCCAAACTGAGTATCACTGGGCCAGGCCTAGCGTGGGAAACAATGCGAAGAGAGACCCTCATGATATGAACAGAGAGGGATTTGGGCGTTCATTCTTCAGTGGGTGAGGGAAAAGGAAAGTGAGCCCAGGTGCTGTAATTCCTGAGACTGGAGGCAGCAGTTATACAAAATGAACTTGGCTGGAAGCAGCTTTTAAAAGTCAGTTGAGGGATTGTCTGGGATTTTCACGGCCGCTTCTCCTGCATGGGACCGAACCATTTCCAGCATCATCCCTCTGCTAATATATTTGAAGATAAGGCTAGAAATAGGTCTTTGTTGGGTTGTCAAGAATCACATGCAGCAGAACAACACAATCAGTTCTTGGTCATAATTTCAGTTAAAATGAATGGCCTTCCAGAAAGAGCTCAAGCTAAATCACAGAATCACAGAATGGCTGAAGTTGGAAAGGACCTCTGGAGATCATCTGGTCCAACAGCCTTGCTCAAGCAGGGTCACCTAGAACACACTGCCCAGGACTGTGTCCAGATGGACACAACTATTTCCTCCAGAAGTGACAAAGGGAGTAGTATCTAGCAAAAGCTCTTTAAGGAATAAATTACAAAAGTTCAGAGGTTCCCCTGCAGCCATGGACTCTTGAAATGCCATTTGAGGGGTTTTCCTCCTATCCAAACCATGGTCTTCCCTTCCTGCCAGAAGGGGTTAATTTGAAAAAGGAATGCACTTTCAAGAGGAAATCCCAAACTGTCTTTAAATCTGAAGGTACAGTTCCTAAGAAAGTGAGCCTGTGTGTACTTTTAATTACCTTTTTCTTAGGATTTAGAGATGTAGCAGAGAAGGAAAAGCATCAATGATGAATTTGAGCTTTCACATATTATCAAAACTGTTTAGGAGAGATTTTTTCCAGGGATTACCCAGCTCTGCCCACAGGCAATGCGCACAGCACAGCATGGGGAGCTGTGCTGCCAACACATGCAAGCAGCACAGGTGGCAAAACCGACTGCACTGAGGCTGCAGGACTGCCTCCACAGTCACAAAAGGTGATGCTACCTCTGTGCTTTCCACACAGCGCAAAGGCAACAGAGTTTACTTCATCTACTAAATGGAACAATACTGATACTAAATTTGCTTTTTCCTGAAAATCTGCTGTAAATAAACAGCATTGGAAAATCTTCTGAGCTTTTAATAAAACCATTATCTGTTACTGTACACAACTCCTGGGTTGTACAATTAGATACAAGAAAAATATTATATGTCAGCATATTTCTGGATTGCTCTCTACTTTTATTTTTCATATTGTTTCTGTTACACTGTGCATATTTAAAGCCACATTATGCACTTCTGAATACCCAGAGAAGATTATTATGGAATTACTATGGATGTTCATCTCTATTACTGAGTGCTGAGTATAGCACTTTGTTTTAACAATATTCATCAAGCTCAGGAACCGCTAGCACGCTTCACTCCAAGAGAGTAGTCTGGCTGGGTCATACTACTGTTCTTTAAAATATATAGCTTCAGTTATTCAAGAATGTTTGCAAATACTCTAAAAGTATCATCCTTTGATTGACTGCAACTATAGCATTTGCATGTAAAGGGCCAAATTCACACATAGCACAAGAAAGTAAAAATTCACTGAAATCAACAGGATTGTGCCTGTAGCCACCAGCCCTATAGTAATTGCAGAATTATGAGATCTGCAACCCAGCATAGGCTCTTCCCATTTCAGGCCACTGAGAAGTCAGAGAAACTGTATGCAAAGTATATAGTTCAGTACAGTCTTGAGGCCTCACCTACTGAAGTCAACAGAGAGACCGACTCATAAGGCTGTAGATCAGGCCTTCTGGCTTGCAACTATATCCTTCTCTGGCTAGCAGCAAAAATAATACTATTCCTGGAGGAGGGATAAAGCAAGGAGCCTGCACACAGGCCTCACCTCATGGTTCATGCTCCTTGCATTCATTAAACTGTCAATGGTGTGGAAACTAGTTTCATAGCTGCAAAAAGGAGACACCTTTTGTCCCCCCTGGCTTTTTTAAATGTAGATGAATATGATAATATGTAAGAAGTAAACTCCCCCGTAGCAAGAAGGAGTTCTCTGTTCGCTTAGTAAAAAATTACCATTTACAACAATCTAACTGGAGAAAAAATGTTAGTAGCAATTCTTCGGTCTATTTATCAAACTATGGGTTGCACTTTTTCACACACCTTATGCTGCAAAGAATATGACATACAAGGTTCTACAGTTCTCTTTTAATTCAGGGATGAAAACTTTTATAGATCTAAATGTTTTCTCATTAACTTTTCTTCCTAAATGATTATGCTTGTTCAAGTCAATTCATAGCCATTTTACAGAGGTTACAACCCTTCAATAATTAAATCAGATATATTGGATATTGTGCTGATAATACTACAACTTCCAATTTCTTCAAAACCACTGAAATGCTGAGATAAAGGGATGTTAACTTTATTTAATTAGCTATATACCATTGTTATCAACATGGAAGGTTGGTACCTGACTCAAATTAACACTTTAGATCAAGAAACAAGATAGATGACATATTCTGTGAAGCATCCTGGAAACTATAGGCAATCTTTTCAGTTATTTTAAAGCTGCTTGGGACAAAAAGGACTGCATTAGAAATAACAAAGGACACTGACAGTTAATGAAATTTTACTGTGAAGATGCTATTTCAATCACACTTGGGTTCTTTCTCATTTTCAGCTGTTAACATTCTTGCCACTTTTTTCAAGCAGTCCCTCCTAGCAGCTTTGAATTTTAACTGCACATAATTTTAAAACACAACGGGAAATAGGACTGAGCACATATTATGGGTTTATTGCGCCAGCAGACAGATCAGGTCCTTGCGCAAAGGTATCACCTGTCTGCTCTCTGCAAAACAGAAGACCACTAAAATGCAGACTGGATTTCACAACTGCCTGCAAACCCGTAACCTAGAAAAAAACGTATTTCAGATGAAGATTGTTTATGATTTATCTCATAAGGATAGAAAAGGGCAATATGAAATCTCAGAGGTCTTAGAAGCATTTTATCTGTGGTTTACACAGACACAACCCACATATAGCCACCTTGCAAGTGCCCAGAGGACGTAGTACCCAGATGAAGTACCCAAAGAACACCCACCGTCTCATCCCCCATACTACATCTGTACAGTCAACAATATAATTTATCCAACAACCACATCACCCTGCTACTCTGCAGTATCTTAACAGTTAAGACTACAGAAATGTTGTTATTCTTTCCCTTTTCCCCATAACTTACTGGTCTTGACCGGATTTCTTTGGCATAGAGAGGTTTCAAGAATTCTGAATCTCCTTCCAGCTTTAGACCCTTGTCCGTGATTCTCAGGTTCCCCATTCCATCCTGAAACATGGACAAAAATAAGTGACCCCATTAGTCACAATAACTAAATATGCCAGGCTGCTAATAACTGAAAGATTTTTTTCTCTATAAGGAAGAACATGTAAAGCACTGGGAGGCACTAGAGAATGCAATTACTTGTGTTATCCTTTTAGCTCTGTTTCCGTGAGAAAATTCTGTTGAGAGCAATCTGTGATGCCCCCCAGTAAACCATTTACACAGATGAAAGACATTCTTTTAAGCTAGTCATCTCTGCTCAAAGAGACACAGTGATGTTCTGTGTTAACAGGAAACTATTCACTGTAATATTCACTGTGTGGCTGTATATTAATATACCTGCTCATTCATAACAAATCCATACAGAGAATATGTGATTAATTCTACTGAACTGACAAAAAAAGCTCTGGTTAGGTACGAGTATTGCAGTATAAAACATGGCATGGAGCTGGACCTCTGCCGTTCGGGGAATCTCTGCCCAGTGGAGGGGCATGGACTCTCCAGGGTGGCTTCTCTGGGGCTACTGCCATTACGAAGAAAAGGGCAGGCAAAAAGATACAGACACGTGCTGATTAGTTGCAAGTCTCAAAGGTATCTTGTGCTTTAAATATTCTGTAGGAGCTGTAGGAGAAGTAACTTAAGTGACAGGAATATGCTTTCAACTGACTGCCTGTCTATCCTGGGCTAAGCCCAGAGACAACCAGCTTGGGCGTGGGGCCTTGCTCTGCTCCTCGCCTGGACCGTGTGTGGCACAGCACGGCTGGTCACGAGCATGGCACGTTACACGTGTGTTTTGGCACATCCAGCATGGGCGTTATGAAGAGTGAGCAGTGATGGAGAGTGAGGGAGGGGGGAATCCAACCAATCTGAATCTCTACATCCAAAATATTTGCACCTCTCAAACCATTCTTCTGACTTTCAAATAAGCACTGCAAAGTCCCAGGGATCAGACACTGGGGGACAGATGTAACGTGCATTTCTCCCCTCTTCTCATTCAGATTTCATATTCGCAGCTCTCAGTTCTCATCTCCCCTTCCACCCGGCACTGTATCAGGCTCCCCGGCAGCCGGCCCACTCAGCCAACATGTGCATGGTGCCCACCGCTCCCCACACTTCCCTGTGAAAAATCTTTCTGACAAATGGTGCGAAGTGTTGGCTGCAGGCCGCCAGCAGATGACTGCAAATGGTCCATTTTCTTTAGAAATTGTTTAGTTATGTGTGTCCAAGATGTAATGAAACATCTGACAAACTATAATAGCAAACAAAATATATGTCAAAATTTTGTATGAGTTTTTCCTATGGTCTTTATGCAGTAAGACAGATATAGGGATACATTGGCACAGAGCAGAACAAGGCCTAACTAAAAATATTTCACCTTTAGCTTGTAGGAGAAAGTCCTAACTTTCACTAAGATGATGGTTTAGTCTCATTTAGGCTATAATTACTTAGAAAGGTGTGCAGGCGGAAGAAAAGTGGTGGGGGAAATTGCAAAAGAATAAATGCATCATCAAAAAACATATTAAAATGCAAGGTGTTATTTCTAACATTCAGAATGATTCTTAAAGTCTGCAAGGAGTGAGGTAGGTTGCTTTGTTTGCCAAGAAACAGAAGGTCTGGGTAATATAATTCAGTCTAAGTTTGACTGATGTCACTAAGATTACAGAGACTGACATTAGCAAGACCTATGTCTCCATATATATAAATTAAGACTGGGAAACGACCACAAGTCAGGTAATCATGAACAAACATGGCAATCTCCAAAGAGACCCTTGGTTTAGTCCCATTTGTCGAGGCTAGGAAAAGTAGAAGGATGATGCTATATGATGCCTTAAGCTTCCAACACAGGGCTGGATGCAATAATCACAAAACTGACAATAGCAAGAGCTGGGCCTGGGGAGGCGGTGGGAATGAGGAGACGTGCACATGAGCACTGATTGCAACAGGATTCATGCTGCAGTCAGGAGAGACGTTGAAACCAAGGGCCTTGCACGCCACAGGATGGCAGAAGTAGCAATCTGGAGGAACAACTGATTTATAAATATGGATGTGCCAGATGGTCTCCATGGCACCTCACCATGCAACTCAGGAACTCCCTGAGAGGGTCCAGGCTGCCCCCTTCTCCATGCTGCTACATATGTCCTTAAACATGGAGGTCCACATCAAAAGAACCACTTCAGAACCTAAATCACAGCAATTTCAGAGGTTTAAGAGGAAAGAGGTATGTGCTTGGGTCGAAGCCCTAGAGAGACCAAGAGAAGACCAAGAGAAGATCTAGAAAATCCAACAAAGCCATGTATATTTGGACATACATCTTGCATGTTTTCTAATCCAGCTGCAAAAAATGAAGCATGGCTGTCTACTCCCTCCTCCTCCCTTTGCGTGTGCACAGCCAGGACCGCAAGAGGAATCACTGTCACTAATGGTGAATGGCTAACCCAGATGCATTTGTATGCATTATTGCCAAAAGCTGTGGGAAAAGACATGCTTCTAGAGGGATAAAAATCAAAGAAACAGCACATGTCAGCAGTGACAGCGGTCATTTGCCAGAGGTTCCTCAGTCCCAAGAAACATCACACCCAGTGCTGGATTCTGCCAAGCAAAGATCATTGTTGCCAGAATGTGGTGTCTTATGAACAAAGGCAGGCTCAGGAGTGTTGGATGATGAAATGAATGCTGTCATATCATTTCAAAATGAAAGTTGTAAGTAAACTTTAGAGACGTGCTGAGAATGCTAGTATGTGTGCAAAGGAGGGGAATGAGAGATGGGTCATAAAGTGCCAGTTGCTACGTTCCTTCTCCCAGGTATAAAACACTGGCTTATTAATTCTGGGTTGGTGGTGGCACAGTAGGGGGTTCATTTATTTCAAGCAACGGTATGAAGGAAAATGAGCAAAATACGATTATACACCAAAGAGCTCAGATTATATTTTGACAGTGGTATGCTTTTCTATTTTGAGTGAGCAGGAATTATTACAGCTATCTGCAGACCCTCACATGTTGAAAATGTGGCTTTCGCACTGCTAAAAAAGCTCTACAAAATCTTTCCCAAAATAGATCTATTTCAGTAAGGTTACAAGCCCTGAGGGGTTTCACGCTGCAGGCTCTTCTCTGGTTTCATTAGGAAAAGTTGCAGGTCATCCGAGCTGGTATATGCCACATAGAGCTGCAAGAGCAATGATCTCCAGGGATACAAAATCCTAATGATTTCCAGGACTCACTCCTGAGCTCAAGTGGGGCAGTGCTCTACTAGTAACATAGGGAGCAGTGCATAAAGGGACCTGTCGAGCTGCCACTGAAGCTATGGCAAACCAGCCAACAATTTCAATGGCTCCTAATTATTTTCTATCCTGATTATTAACACAAATCTGGTATTCCACTTTTCTCTTCTCTTGTGTGTTTCTCTTCCTTTCTCTTCTTCACCCTCCGTCTCCCACATGGCTCCTACAGGATTTCTAGATATGAAAAACACACATATGGACCATATAGCTCACATACAGCAAGTCCTATGCATCTGAAAAGACATACCAGGCCATGCCCACAGGGACAATGTTCTACAATCAAAACATCAAGAACACATTTGATTTGCATCACAGGAACAGGTGTACGCTCTTACAAAACCACTGGGTCAGAAAAAAAGAGATGCTTCACCATGTTATGCTTCTCAACCTTTGATATTCTTACTCTGACCCAGATTCACCGCTCCCTCTTCCTGCAGCTGCCAAATCGAATAAAACCTGCGCCCACCAGGTAGTACCTCCTGACTTCCCTGGTGTTTAGGATCAGGATGCAAAGCTTAGCACTGATTCTGACCATGATTAGCCCTCTGCTGCTCATGTTACTCATGATTAAAGCTGACAGCTTTTCGTAGTGACATTCTGGATCATCAGGGCAAAAACATGCAAAGGTTGCAATTTGAGTTTAAAGTTAAAGGGAATCCCTGGTGCGCAACAGTACAATCATTATTAAAGCATACTCATTTATTATTTTCTATGAGAACAGAATCAAGCAGCTGGCAAAATCACATAAAGATACCAAAATACATATACAGTAGAGAGAAATGGTTCTGGGAAAGATTACATCATATGTTGTTTTGGATAAAGCATCTTCATGATCCCTAAATTACATAGTTTAATTACACCTAAATGTCATACTTTGTTACACTGACTATATATAGACCCACTCCTGTGAAATTTCATGGACCCTGACCTATAAAATATAACAGGACGCTGGCCAGAGTGACAGAGAACATAACTTCTTTTTAATCAGCTTTGTGTCTGTGACTGTTATCTATCCTTATCTGCCATTCTGTAGCTTGTGAATTAGAAAAAACAATGCAGTACTGATTATTTGATGCAGTGATATCTGATACTCTTTGGCTTTCCTTTTTTTTTTTTCTTTTTTTAATAGTAGCTTCGTAAATCGAGAACTTTATCTTACAGGCAGAAACCAGCTTTGTGAAAGCTTCCAGTCTAACCCGTGGAAAACAAGAGGCACTGAGTTGGGAACTTTCCATTACCACCTGCTTTGAATTATTCAGCTCTTTGGTAGAGCATGGTGAAAACTTTCACATCAGTTTTATCATTCAAGCCATCTTTCTTTTTATACAATACCTTGTAATGGGCAGGCATAAAAATTTATGTGCTACTGCTGACTGCTCTATGTTAAAATGGGACAGCAATGGTAAAATCCTGAATAACATAAATGTCATTTTGGTGCTGCTGGATGAGAAAGGATTTTTTTTTATTAGCTTGAAAAGGAACTGAGTTTAACATCCAATTACAAATGATGGTGTTAGTGTTACGGGAACAGCTCAATACTGCTGCAGTCCCAACATCAAGGTTCCTCTCTGCCTTCCGTGGTTAGCATTGTGGCTGTATGCATAGTAAAGTCTAGCTGTTTTTTGCCTCCCTTTTTAAAAGCTGTGGGTTATTTTATACTTTGTTTTTTATTGTATGGCTGGTAGCAAAGAGATTCAGTTAGCAGAATAACTAGAGCACAGCAGCCAA